AGAGGATTTGAATTTGAGGATTTATAGTGGTTGGGAGGTTTGTGAAAAATGTTTGGTAACGGGAGTGGATTACATCTTGGACAAAATTTAGGTCTGTATGGGTAGTGTCGTTGGACACATAAAAGGGAGCATTAAGGATTTTTCTGAGGATGATGGATTGGGCTCTTTGGATGCGTAGGATATTGGAATGTTGGGCTGAACCCAACACTTCCAGTCCATAAGTCCATATTGGCTTCACGAGGGTGATATAAAGTAGTTTGTTGTTTAAGAGAGGTAGGTAAAGAGAGGTAGGTAGGTTGGTAGGCGACACACAAGAATAAACGTTTTGTGTTTTATTCGGAGGCGATCAGGAAATTTCTGGGAGTACAACTCGACTGCAGGACGCGCAATTCCTCCATTATCAAAAAAGCAGTCGTACATATCAACTCGCAGTTGATCGGAAAAATGTGCTGTTCGGTTCCTTTTCAATGGAATTCTGAAAGTATTGAATAGGTACTTTTGTAAAATTAATTTACTTTCAGAAATTAAGTATTTCTCTCGTATGGTGTTTTTGACCAACAATGACAGAATACAAACAATAAAAGCAATTAATGTTTACTTTACTACTTTACTGAAGAAGCAAGTTATTGTAATTAATTTATCAGTTTTGCACATTTACAGAGAGAGAGAGAGAGAGAGAGAGAGAGAGAGAGAGAGAGAGAGAGAGAGAAAGAGAGAGAGAGATTTTTAAACATTTGAAAAGAAAATCACATAATTTCTTCATTATTATTTATTTTTGGGTAATAAGAAAAGCATGACTTTCTTGGACTTCGGTTTATCTACGGACGGGACTGATTTTGTTTCTTGAATCTTCTTCTTAAATGCCCTGACAGTAGTAAAAGGAAAATAATAAACCTTAATATTTAGTTTTATTATTTTATTTTTATTACTGCCAATAATAAAAGGAAAGACCGGGGAATGAATCATTTATGTATTTTACCATTATTTAGGAAGATGTAGGCCTATTGTTGTATGGTCCAGGAAGAGAAGAAAGCCAGAAAAATTCAATAATAAGAATTATAAAATAAACAAAAACTGCTTTCAACCACCTAAAGTATATGAGAAGCCAATTCAATTTCGTTTAATTTCCAGAGTTATTAAAACGCACTTGACATTTATTCCAAGTCGTCGAGGAAAATAATAAATTGAGGCTTTTTTTCTGTCCTTTGGGCGGCGGTTCTTGTATTGGGTGTGGTCTTTTATCGTCCTTGGAGCAAGGTCGAATTCCTAATTTGATTTGAACCTAGTTTCCCACCCGCACCTGAACGGGCGTGGAACTTTTCACTAATTACACCCGGTAAAGTGAGGAAGAGCCCTCGTTTCGCCACCGAGTAGTGCAGTGATCTAGAAGGTTTTTTCTTATTAGCAGCTATTCCCGAAATAGGTTAATGACGGAAAGATTTAATGTTAACAATTCATAAAAAAATTGTAACTGTGATTTCTCACAAAGATAATATTTATACTAGGTCGTTACAAAAATTTTTGTACAAGGCCATCATTATCAACTACTTCAAGACGTCTTTCTGCCGGAAGTTGAATGTGATGGTGATACCAGTCCTTGGTTTTCGAATCGATGAACTCTCACATCCTAATTTAACATGCTCGTAGTTTCCGAAGTTCCGGCCTTTCAAAAATGGCGCAATTGACCGAAAAAGTCTATAGTCAGACAGTGCAACGTCAGGGATTTAAGCAGGGTGGGGCACCCTTCATTTCTGAACATTTTTCTTGGGCTAAACGTGGACGATGGGCAGGAGTGTTGTCTTGCTGAAATATCGCTATACACCGATTGAGCAAAGCAGTGTACTTGTCTTTTAAAACCCCATATTATCTTTTCAATTGCTCACGGTAAAAGTTTACGTCTATAGCTCTGCCATCTGGAACAAGCTCAATGAAAATACCCTCATAATTCCACCCAACACAAAGCAAACTGTTTTTCAATATCGATCTTGGCGAACCTCTGCTTGAACCCCTGACCTTGCGGTACTCACTGTTTTCGGTGGATAGGATTTTTTAAAAATATCCATTTTTCATCGCTCGTTACAATTCTCTTCCACAATCTATCATCTTTTGGATTTTGTAGCAAACTTCTACAGATATCAACTCGTTGAGCTTGCGCAGCTGACAAGTCATGAGGATGTGATCTGGGTCGTATATTTTGGACATTAAGCTGTTTTTACATGGCGGCTTACCGTTGCATTTGAAATCCCCGTTTTGGACGTCAAATCCTCCAGTTATTCATCATCATCCACCACTGAAGTGCGACCAGATCTAGGGTCATTTTTAGGGCTTTTGTTCCCAGAATTGAACCGCCTGAACCAGTGTAACGATGCACATTTTCACCTTCCGCTGCCCAAAATTCCTCGTCTGTTGCCCTTGCACTTAGTCCTTTTTTCTAGTAGTTCCTCAGTAAACCATGAATGACAATTTTTTCTTCCGACGTATATTCGGTGAGATTTCTAAAATGGAATGAAAGGTAGATTCAGTTGGTATACATAATTAAATAAAGGATTAGTCAAAGTAAACATCGATATATGCATTGTTTACATCAGAGCCGAATAAGAATTAAAATGAAAACTTTAATATCACTTTAATTAATTAATGCACAAATGTGTATTTTAAATTTGAGGATTTATATTTTTTTAAGAAATATTATTTTATTCCTGACTTTCTTTGCCACTTTAAAATAAATTCTTTTTTATTGACAAGACACACTTTTTTCTCACTTTTAGTTTAATCTAAAACGTTTCTATATGGAGTGGAATTAAAAGAAAATAATAATTGATAAGTACACTTTTTTTACGTCTAACTAAATCATAATAGATCCAATTCCTCATATATTTATTGTATTGTAGCTATTGGTTAATTGGTAGTAAATAATAGGTAGGTAAATTTTGAGAACGGTCTATTTGAAAATATTCCATACTGAGGTGAATGACAATTTTTCTTCCGACATATATTCGGTGAGATTTCTAAAATGGAATGAAAGGTAGGGTCATTTGGTATACACAATTAAATAAAGGATTAGGCACAGTAAACAACAATATATGTATTGTTTACATCAGAGGAAACTTTAATATCATCAATTAATTAATGACTTTTGTAATGACGATTTTTTTGTTTTTGTGTCTATTTAAAAAAAACTAAATTTGATGTTTTATATTGAATGAGATTAGCTTTGTCCTGGATGTGATATTTATTGTTAGTTCAATTTTTCTCATATTTAAGTATCGCTCTATTGATCATTGTTAGAAGAGAACTATTAGCTAGTTTGTAGTATTTATAATTAAAATGGAAGGTGCAATTTCAAAATTATATTCATTAAGGAAAAAATTCCTTTTAGGACCTCATTCGAGGATTAGAGAGAAAAAGTTCCAATCAAAATTTAAATATTTTAATATCTACGTTGGACATTATTCTCGGCCGAGTAAATAAAGACTCGACGTGAAGTTATACAAAACAGAAATAAACTCTCCTGGAAGGAAGAAGCCTTAAAAAAGATATTTTGCCAGGGATCCTCACCGGCGAAATAACTCAACCCTCACATTACGGTCCGCTGGACAAAATAAAAAGCCGGCTGAAAAAAAATCTCACCACTCGGAAATATTACGATCTGATGCTATAAAACGGGCCAAACAACTGCAGTTACAGACCAAATAAAGGCTACAAGCGGTTTATTAACGTCGGGTAACAGTTGACTTTTGTTTTAAACTCTTAATTGAATATTTATTAAAAAAACCGGTTTATTACCTACTAAAACTGAACATAGTTTTAACATTATTAATAATAATAAAACCAAAGGGCCAAAAAGACAGTAAGTTTATAACCAAGATTGTTATTTAGCTAGGATCAACGGAGAAAAATGATCTTTCATAAAATAAAATAATAAGGCTTTAAAAGTATTATTTTGTCAGTCCTAGCCCGAAAAGAAGCTGTATTAACTGCCGGAAATGAGTTAGAGTGATGACACTTAACTCGACAGTTTGGAATGCTCCAAATGTCTTCCTTGAGTAAACGAGAAGTGGTGATAAAGAGAAAAACATTACTGGAAAACGATACCGAGTTTTCTCTATTTTACCTTGCAGCTGGGAAAACTTAATTAACAAAAAAAATACAAAAAAAAAACAGTGGATATAGGTCAAAACTAGTAGAAATATGAATGGCAACGATAAAAAATAACTTTACGGCTTTTTAAAGTTTAGCAGTAATAAAATAAACGTTTTTAATCCAAGACAAATATTATGCAAAGCTTATACCTAAATCTTCTTTTAGGGGATAAGACAAAACAGTACAATTAGAGAAAAAGTATATGACCATGGGGCTTTTAAAATAAAAGAGTGTAAAATTTTCTTTAAAAAATTTCCCAACGTTCAGGAATAAATAATAAAAACATGGTATAAAAATAAAGAAATTCGTTAAACGACAGGCGTATAAACAATGGACCTTAAAAATTTTAACCGCAGTAGTATAAAATATCGTTTATTGCAGAGTAATTAATTTAATCTCTGGCACAGTTAAGACATTTTCCTCCGGTTTGAAAATTGTAAAAACGAAATTATACAAGAGGGTGGTTAAAATAATTATGAACAAGGAAAAGGTAATAACTGTGGGAGTAATTAAAAATTTGTAACAACAGGTTGAACACGTAAGGACGTTTGTGTATCTAACCAAAGTAAAATAATATAACAATATATAATTTAATATTATAAAAAATAAGGTCAAATGTATTTCAACATCTTTATGGAAAAAGGGTTAAACGTTTGACAAAAAATGAATGCGAGTTCTGTGAAAACCGTTCTTTTTCAATTAAAAAGAGTAATAAAATAAATCTATGTAATGATAATTAAAAGTTATTATTCATGCATATTTAATTGATGGAGAAGTTGTCATAAAGGAAACAAAGATTATAACATTAAACGATAAAAGGGGTGGGATAAGTTTAAGGAATTCTGGGAAAAATCCTCCCTGGTTGTTTTCGGCCGCCAGAGATCCCGAGTGCGACCTTCGTCCTCCACGCCCTCCTAGGTATAAATACTCGGCTGATCGCTGGCTACCTCAGAACAGTCCTTGCAACCAGCATTGGAGGTCTCCAATCAACGATGAAATTCCTCGTGAGTCTCTGAAAAAACTTCGATTATTTGTGCAATTGTATATAGGGTTTATCGAAAACTAAATTACTGTTATGCATTCTGATGAATTGATTTCGGTGAATTGTAATGGGGTGGTTCGTTGCAGGTACTTGTTTGCGCCATCGGCCTTGCCACTGCAACCCCTGTCCACGTCGGACACGTTGCCAGCCAATACCACGCTCAAGATGAACTCGGCCAATACAGTTACGGTTACGCCGGCGGTCCATCTGCCAAACACGAAACTAGAACCGCCGATGGAGTCACTCGTGGAGGTACGTCGTAAATTTTCTGACGTTTTGAATAGAGTTGAATTGAAATTTTATGTTCAGGATACTCATACGTTGATGCCCACGGACTCGTACAAAGTGCCCAATACGTTTCTGACCCCCACAACGGATTCAGGGTAGCCGCCACCAACCTCCCTGTCGGACCCGCCGTCCCCGCTAAGCCCGCCGTCGTCGCCACCGCTCCCGCTGTCGTCGCCGCCCCCGCTGTCGTCTCCGCCCCCGCAGTCGTCGCCGCTGCTCCCGCTGTCGTCGCTGCCCCTGCCGCCGTCGCCGCCCCCGCTGTCGTCACTTCTGACCTCCCTGAAGTCGTCGCCGCAAGGAGCGTCCTCCACGGTGGACTCCTCTCTCACAGTCTCTACGGAGCTCACTCCTGGTCCGGTCTCGTCCACGCCCTCAAGAAGAGGAGCCTCGCTGTCGTTCCTACCTACACCCACTATCCTGGTTCCACCGCTCCCCTCGGTAAGTTAAACATAACATAAGAAGTTTGAAAATTTAACTAAAAGAATTTTAAACGTTTATAGTCCACGCCGCTCCCGCTGTCGTAGCTCACACTCCAGTCGTCGCTCACTCCGCTGTCTACCCGACAGTCTACAGCCACTGGGGAGGTCTCGCCCACGTCCTCAAGAAGAGGTCGCTCGCCGTCGTCGCCACCCCTCTTACCAGCTATCCTGGATCCACTGCTCCTCTTGCCGTAGCTCACGCTTACGCCGCTCCCGTCGTCGCTCACGGATACGCCGCCCCCGTCGTCGCTCACGGTTACGCCGCCCCCGTCGTCGCTCACGGTTACGCCGGTCCCTTCGAACACCCCCACGTCGCCGCCGCCAAGGCCGCTCACCTCGTCCAACAGCACAACGAAGCCGTCAGGAACGTCCACGGAGTAGGTTCCGTTCCCGAATTCTCTCCCGCTGACGCCCCCGACGTCGCACTCGTCAAGCACGCTCACCTCACCCAGCAGGTTCACGAAGCCGTCAGGAACACTCACGGTCTCGTCAAGAGGCACGCCGTCCTCGCCGCCGCCCCCTTGGCTTACGCCGCTCCCGTCGTTACCGCTCATTCTACCGTCCTCACCCACACCCCCCTCGTCAGAGGATTTGGTTACCACACCACTGCCTTTACCCCCGCCCTTTCCTACCACTGGTAAATCTTGTTAGGTTTTTTAAATATATCGTATAAATAATGTACTGAACGTTTCTTATTCAATTTCCCCTATTTCTCCACAAAAAAATACAATCATCAAATCAATATAATATATTGACTAGGTGAAAAGTTGAATTAAAGCTATGCTTAAATGCAAATTTTCATATTATTAGATGTACAAAAGAATAAATAAAAATAACCCAAAAAACAGAACAACTAAAAAAAAGGGAAATGACAGTAAATCATTTAAAACGAATGCAAAAATCATGTCAGGTTTACAAGAATATAATATAGATATTAACAAAATGCATATGAATTAAGAATCATGTACAGAACATCATGTTTTTATGGAACCAAAAGGTATTTTTAATAGGAACATCGTACGTGTTGTTCTATTATCAAATGAAACAATGGAACAAAGCAGTGAAAACGGAGGCAGAGCTTCTTTTTTCACATATCGCGTCCGTTTATTTCAGTTGGAAATGGGCTAAACATCGGCTCGTTGATATACCAATCAGCGCTTTCATTGCCCTCCGTTCTCCACGACCATCAATGTACCTTCAACGGTAAATTAGTGGGCGATAAAATTGAATTGCCCTACCACTGTCGTGTCGAGCGTTATACCAAAATATTATCTACCTGATTTACGATCTAATTTCACCTGACCCTGATAACGGCCCGTGTGGAAAGTTTAAAATTAAAACCCCCTCACAGACAGGAACATGAGTTAATTAAATTCCCAAATGTACTAATGACGTTTAATTCGAATTTACTCTAATTCAGGGTGGAACGCAGGCGTTTAAAATATCGATTGTCTCATAACTTATGACCGGTTGATGTCATTTACACATAGAAACAAGTTATGTGAAATGCTCTTACGCACTTGTTAAACACTCGTCGGAATTTAATTATTTCACACGATTAACTCGTTTAATGTGTAAAATGAGCAAAGTCTTTTGTTCATAAATACCGTATAGAATTCCACATAAAAAGAATGAAACAATAGAAAGATTTGATATTTTATATATAAAATAGTTATGTAAATATTTACAATTCTAATTAAAGATAAAAATTTTGCAAAGTGTTGTAGAAGCAATTAATCTGTAAGTTTTTCTAGATTTAGAACTTTATCAGTCTAATTGCTAAAGGAATGCGTGCTGTAACTAGTTAAGTTGTAAAATAAAGTCGTCTCTCGTTAATTACCTGTTCGACCTTTAAAGTTCTCAGATGTCAAAGCCTACTGAAATAATAATCAATAGGGTCTAATAGGTTCGTCAAGGTTCAATTAAAAGTTATTCATGCATGTAACACAAGTTTACCATCAATAAAAAACTAGATAAATAAAAAAGTAATAAATCAAAATAGTCTAACATATTTTCTATTTTTGAAGGCCTCTCCTTTCGAGCCGGCCCGATTATCCACCCGCCGACCACCAATTTTGGTAACAAAACGAAAGGGAAAAAACCCAGGTGTAATAAGAGTGAAAAAAACAAAAACAAAACCACGTATCGGTGGAGAAAGAGGAAAGCCTTGGGGGATTAGCGGAGGTGATCACGGATCCAGGAGGTTCAAGGTGACTATTGCCCTTGGGTGTGGTCCTCATTTAGCCTTGTTTGTTTCCTGGTTTTCAGACATTTAACAATGCAGTTTTAACAAGTACTTGCAACAACAAGAAATGCCGTTATTTTAGTTCTTGAACAAACTCGTTAAACCTGTTGCGATCAACCACTACCATCGTAAAAAAAGAAAGAAAATATAGTTTTTAAAACTTAGTCGATATGGATTTTGATTATTACAATCCCTCTGAACTTGTTTTCATGTTTGTAACAGCCTTTCACCAAACCAAGAGCAGACGAAATACAACTAAACATTGATAACCTTCTCGGTTTTGATTAATCCAAATACTAAATATGACAAGTTAATTTGATAATCATGGTTCAATACTGGTTCTGATTGACAATGTTGTCCAATAAACCTAATTTAATCAATCAATTGTGAGAAAATTCGGAAGAACAATAAGCTTCCGAAGTCGATTAATTAAGATTTAAGCCAAAAAACTTCCGCCAACTACTGTGTAACGAATTTTTGACGGAAATGAAACTCGAGTTTTTGAGATCGTTGCGCTTATTTAAGAAAAAAACTCATAAAACTACAGCATCATTACATTTATTAATGTTACGGAGAAAGTACATGCAAGTATCCAGGAGAACCGTGTAACAAACTGGGTTTAGACTAACGTTTATTAATACCCCAGGGTAGTTGGACATTAAGCCCTCCTGTATCACAGGTATTACTTACTCTTCTATAAACTAAGCTAGGTAGGGATCTCTACCAAATATATTCTTGTCGAACAAACCATCTACATAAACACCACCTGTTTTGAGTGTGCATAATAACAAAATATCAGCCAACTTTGAAACAGGAGGAGTAAAACAGGGATGCGTCTTGAGACTTTTTCTTTTCGGTGTGTTCCCGAACGTAATCGCAGATTTTCTAGAAGGCGGAGTGCTATTCGGCCAGCTGAGAGTAAGATGTTTCTTGTCTAATAATCTAGTCTGCCTCTAGCATAGTATAACATAACATCAAAAGATCAGCCAACTTTGAAACATGCGGGGTAAAACAGGGATGCGTCTTGAGCCCTTTTCTGTTCGGCGTATTCCTGAACGAAATCTCTGATTTTCTAGAAGAGTGCTATTCGGTCAGCTTAGAGTAAGATGTTTTTTGTCTAATAATCTCTAGACTGCCCTAAAGCATTCCAAATGAAAGAAATGAATCACCAATAAATAAAAAAATAAGATAATGATATTTTGAAACGAGGGAAGGCTTGCTATTAAAGAAAAACGGGTTTTCCGCAACGATTAGATTGAAGTGGTTAAATACAAATATCTACAAATCACGTTGACTCGTGACTGACTTTAATCGAAAAGCTTGCAAAAGTAAAGACAAGATGGAAAATTTACTGGGAGCTTAAGATTTGCTACCACAAGACAAGTGAAAAGCTTTGAAAGTGCCTCGCGAGTTATCCTCTGCCATTGGTGCCAGGTATTGGTAGGACGAGAATAAGAAGAAGTCGAAGTGGGTCAAAGTTTTTTTTTTTTCTAAAAAAGGTAATCTTTCGAAATATACCTTAGTCCTGGATCCACTCACATGGAAACAAACAACACTCTTTCTTCGCTTGCACTCTGAAACTCTGAAGTGACATTTGTCGCAATTGAAAATAATGTCAACGTCAAGCGTGCCAAACAAACATTCTGGTGGTGTCATGCAATCAAAACCTGCAATGTTTCTAGAGTTAAATACTCAGATTGATTAGAATGGCATTTCCGCCCCACACACAGACATTACTCGACTTACCTCTGAAGAAACAGCCAAAATAATAAGTGCAGTTCAACCCTCCTAACGAGAAAAAGAGCTGGACTGACTGAAACTTTCTGGACCTAACCTATAACTCTCTCACTACAGACACTTCAACTTGATAGATAAAATGAAGTCTCTTACGTCAGCGTCAACTCCATAATGTTTTTCAAGCCCACAATTTTTAAATGGAGAAATTCTCTCAACTTGAACTATAAAACCTGGAGACAGGTCAAAGTATCCGCGCCCGATGAACGTCAACTTAAAAAATACTAATATCAGTTTAGACACTGTAAGGCTAAGACTTTCACAAGCTGGATTAAGTGTGAGAAGACCTGCCACTGTCCAGAACTTCTGACAAGGTAGAAAACAGCTCGGTTAAGTTTCGCGAGAAATTATATTAATTGTTCTGAGCAATATTGTTTTCGGATGAGTCAAGGTTTTGTTTGAGGTCTTTTGACGGCCAAGAGAGGATTTGGAGAATAGGAGAGCGATATATCCACGCAAAATTTCTCTCTGGAGACGCTATGATGGTGGTCTCATAGTTTGGGCAAGCATTTCTAAGGAAGGTCGCACAAAATTGATCTCCATGGAGGGTTTGATACTAGCTGCGCGATATATTGAAGATGTTTTATTACAAGAAATTGTTCCTTACATGCCACTAATTGGCGACGGTTTTATTTTTTGGAGTGGCTAGCATTTAGATTATTATTTAAACTCCTTTAATTTTATACTATTGCTAAAAATAAATTTAAACAAATGTATGCGGGCACTGTGGCGCATGTGGTGCGGAATATAAAGTCTAGGAGTCGGTGGCTAGATTGCAAAATTAACTTGGAGCTTATTTTCACGATATAAATCTCGGGGGATGAGTCCTTTCATAAATATGATCCACGGGACTCTGCTTCGCATGGAAATTGCTTAGACGGTATGTAATAGAGTTATTTTTTAAAGTCGTGGCTAGTCACACATTCCCGACGGGGATTTGATTTTTGGTAGAAGAAAGGGCTCCTAGGGTAAATGAACTAAAAAACCCTGAAGGGGAACCGACGAAAAATAAAGTAAATACGTAAGATTTGACTTGAAAAATAATTAATTAAAATCAATAAATAAACATAAACATAAGGAAAATATTATTGTCTAAGATATGGTCTGGGGGACCGCGGTAGCCGAGTGGTTAGCATGAGAGACTCTCACGCCGCGGTCGTGGGTTCGATTCCCACCGTTGCCCCTGGCCCTTTTTTCCCAATAACCCCCCAAATTTGAACACACATATACGAATTTGTCACATGGCTAATATGCATAGTTCATAACGCCAAAAAAAAAAANAAAAAAAAAAAAAAAAAAAAAAAAAAAAAAAAAAAAAAAAAAAAAAAAAAAAAAAAAAAAAAAAAAAAAAAAAAAAGATATGGTCTGTTTTTGGATTATTAATTGATATATTAAAAAGGGTTGCATTTATTTAAAAATATTTAACTCTGATTGTACTATTGAAATTATGCTCAAGCGTACATACATATTTATGTAATTACAAATTTATTGAAATTAAAATTAGCTACTCAAAAATTAGAGTGTTATGATACATAAAAGCAACACTTGTTGGCCAATTTTATGCTTAGTTAGTTTAATTAAACAATTATTTAAATTAATATTTGAATATGCAATTAGGTGAGGTTATATGCATACGCATGAC